CTGGCTTTTCATCATGTCCCCACCTCCTCAGCATCGAGGCTACAGGCACACACACACACACAGGCACATGTAGTCAACACACCTGGTTCTTGACCTGGGCTCTGGAGGTTTGAACTTGGGTCCTCATGCTGCTCAGCAAGTGCTTTTACCTGCTGAGCCACCTCCCCACTCCCAAAAGTACTCTCAGACAAAAGAAAACAGACAAGAAGAACCAATAATTCTAGAAAAGAACAAAGGAGACAGACCACAAAACAGGCAACCAAGCAGAGGCCCCCTTAACATTCCCGATGAGGCAGATGTCACATTTTGCTTTATTTCATTCTGTCTTTCCAACCCACTGAAAAACATCTGCACTGAAAAACATCTGCACTCTTTCCCTTTACAGATAGGAAAACAAAGCTCAAGGAGCCTGCTTTACGGTCCCTCAACTAGTATGCTGCCAGGATCTCTACCCAAGCAGTTCTTAGGTGTCTGTCCTATTACAGCCTTCCAGAAGTAATCAGAGAAAAAAGTCTGTCCAGAAAAGTGAATGGAGCTGGGTATAGTGGCTCATATATGTAATCCCAGAACTTGGGAGGTGGAAGCGGGAAGATCAGGGGTTCTAGGCCATCCTAGGCTCATGTAGAAAGTTTGAGACCATCTGGGCTATATGAAACTATGTCTCAAAATAATAACAAAAACAAATAAAAGAGATAGTAAAAAAAGTCAGCCTTGGTGGCAGGCGGTGGGAAATAAATTCAAGGTCACCATGGCTGCAAAGCAAGATCCTATTTCCAGGGAGGTAGATTAGAAAAATTAGCAAAAGAGATGGAAAAGAAAGTCAAGTCAGAAAACAAGAGGAAACTTTTTTGCTAAATGGGAAGTTTGTAGCCTCATGTTTACTGTGCATTTTCTAGATGGGGTACACCTGACCCTCAATCCACCCGGGAGCAGACACCCCTCTTCTACCATACAGAATGTCTAGGAGCCCCCTTCACGCCTACTGGCAGCTAACCTCCCACGTCTTATATATAGCCTTCGTTCTTTGCAATCCATGCCTTCTGTTCCAGCGTTCCACCTATAAGGTCTCATTCTCCCTTCCACACTCACACAACTGCCAATACACATATCTTGCCTACCCTCTCTTAAATCACCTCTGAGGCAAGAACACCGAGTCCACTCTCCAGGTTCCTATTTAACCACAAGAAGCCTAGTAAAGATCTAGGCCCAAATACAGATAGAAAAAAATTAGACGGTAACTTTAATTAAGCCCACATCTGGGCATACATTAAAAAGTATAGCACTGTTTCAGAGCCCACCGTAATACTATTTTAAATTTATATACTGTATTTACCTTTCAACCAACTTAACCTCACAGCTTTTTACCGTATCAGAACAGGAAACTCCTTGAAAGGAGCACAGGATTAATCAACAAACCAGGTGGTCCTCAACAAGGGAGGAAGGGAAAATAACAAAAACCATACATGCAGAGGAATCAGAAAAGAACTAAACAGTCATTCTTCACAGATGGGCTGGATCAGTACAATGAAAATGTAAATACACTCACAAAGAATAAAAACTAGGCTCATGTGGCATGGTCATTTGTTACAAGGTTAATATATACAAAAAGAACTCTATCTACATCCGGTAACCAATGCAGTATGAAGTAAAAAAATATATAGGGGGCTGGAGAGAGGTGGTTCTGCTGTTAAAAGCACTTGGTCCTCTTGTGGAGGTCCTGGGTCTTAGTCTCAGCACCCACACAGTGTAACTTCAGTTTCTGGGGATTCAATGCCCTCGTCTGACCTCCAAGGGCACCAACGGATGTGGTACTCATATTACATGCAGGCAAATGTGTTGTGGAATGATCTTTTTGTACACTGTGAAGATGTGTTGCTCTCATTGGTTTAATACAGAGTTAAATGGCCAACAGCTAGGTTTAATAAAGAGTTAAAACGACAGGGAAAGAGTCCTGGGATGAAGGGTGAAGTTGCCAGGAGACCCAGGGAGAGGAAGATGATCATGCCAAGGGGAGAAATGTGTGGAGCTGTGTGGTAGAATGTAGGTAAGAAATATGGGTTAAATGGAAGGCCTCACCCTCCCTGAGGAGCAGAACGGGGATGGGATAGGGAGGGCAGGCGAAAAGGGGAAGGAGAGGTAACTGACATATAAAACAAGCTTGTTTCAAATTTAAATTTAAAAAAAAAGGGGGGGGATATGGGTTAATTTAAACTGTAAGAGCTAGTTAGTAACAAGCCTAAGCTATCGGCTGAGAATTTATAATTAATAATAAGTCTCTGTGTGGTTATTTGGGAGCTGGCTGGCTGGACAGAAAAATCCCACCTTCAAAAATTAAAGAAAATGCATTTAGGCCAGTGAAAAGGCTCAGTGGTTATCTGCCAACAAGCCCCAAAACCTCAATTTGATCCCTGAGAGTTATATGGTAGAAGAAACCCAACTCCCAAAAGTTGTTATCTGACTGCCACATACATGTTGTGGCATGTGTTCCCACCAAAACAATTAAAATTCAATGAAAACTAAATAATAACAACAAAAATATCAATTATCTAAAAACAATCTAATAAGATTCCCTTAAAGCACTAACAAAAATTAAAGACAATGAATGGAAGGATGTGTCATGGACAAAAAAGCTGGATACTGTAAAACCATCAGTTCTCTTCAGATTTATCTACAGGTGCAATGTAACACTAAACAAAACCTCAGCACTGTGCAGGTGTTAGCATAAGTAAGTTACAATTACATTTATTCATACAGATGAGCCTCACAAATATGCTGAACAAAATAAGCAAGGCATAAGGGTAGACACGCTGTATCAATCTACATAGAAAATTTCTCAGAGACCAACCTGGAGCTTAGTGTCAGAAAGAGGACACAGGTCACATAGCTAATGAGCAGCAAAGAGTTAGGAGGTGGATTGTTTCTCAGCTATATTGCCAGAAAGGTCAGGAAAAAATTCTCCATTTCAGGAATGAACAAACCAGAATACACACACACACACACACACACACACACACACACACACACACACACACACACACACACGATTTCACACATAAATACAATGCATTTTGATCATATCCAACTTTAACTGCCCCCTTCCCACTATCTCAGATTCCCCCAACATGTGCCGCTCACACCCTCATGTTTTGTTTTTATAATCATCCACTGGGTCCAATTAGTGCTTCCAGTGTGAGAATTGGCAACCTATCAGCAGCTACACCCCCAAGGAAGGTATCTCCCCCCCTTGCAGCCATCACTGCAAACAGATTCCCAGCTGGCAGTGAAACCCCCTGAGCCCTTCCCTTTTCCAAGCCAGAATTACTGACTGGCTCGATCTTGTGCAGATCTTAGGCAGATATTCCAAGCTGCTGTGAGGTCCTGAGTGCCACCTACTACGTCGTTGCCATCATTTCTACACACTCTGCATTGACTGCAGCAGCAGTGAATGGTGGAGATGGCAGGCAACACCCCACACTGGAAGATGAGACAATTTGGAAAAGAAGGCATCTAAGATTCCCAAACCTAGTAAAAGGCACGTTCAGATGTGCAGAATGGATGATGTCTGGAAACTGTCTCAAAAAAATAAAAACAAGGAACTATCAATTACAGTTCAGGGGCACAAGATCCAACAGAGGAACCAGAAAAAGTACAGGGGATCACACCATCTTCACATCTAAAATAACTAATTTCTTCTATAAGCACAAACCCTCACATTTAATATAGTGAAATCAGTTATTAGATGAGCTATGCTAAATTTTTAAAATTGTCTGATTTGTTATTTATGTGTGGTATCTATGCATGTGTATATTCAGCATCACCCATGGGACAGCCATGGGGTCCTGCTGTTATTGTCCACCTTATTCCTTTGAGATAGACTCACTCATTAAATCTGGAGCTAGACTAGCAGCCAACAAGCCCCAGTCACTCCACTGTCTCCATCCCCTCAGGACCGGGGTTACAGGCATGCGCAGTCACACCTGACTTTCACTTGGGTGCTGGAGATTTGAACTCAGGTCCCATGCTTGCACAGCAAGCTGAATAATGTCCTCAGCTTTGTGCTAAAAATCTGTAATAAGTTTCCCAAAAGACCTCTCCTCAAGCATGCACAAGCTCTTTCTAGTATGATATCAATATTTGATGTCACTCCTTTAAGTTCAACACCGTAACAGGAGTGCAAGCAAAATGATTAACGGGACAGGAGATTTCCAAGGCGGAGGCTAGCATTTTCACTTCTACACACTCTTTCTAAATATATCCTTAAAATGTGTCAGCAACTTACAGCACTCTGAGGAGTCACACACAGCAGGGTTATGAACTTGAGGCCAGCCTACGATACATAGCAAGACCCTGTCTTTAAAACATTCAGTGTTATAGAGGAAAATACATGTGGGAGGCATATGGAAAATCAGACTTCGATACATGAGACCCTGACTCAAAAATAAAACTAAACAAATCATGGAGACTGTTACAGGCTGAGTAGTCAAATGAAGCATACACACAAATGCAGTGGGTGGCTGAGTCTTAATTCTCAATCAGAAGCAATGTCAATATTAACGGTAAGAAAAATCCTTGAGGACAACTAGAGTTCGGAACAGGACCACATTACTTTCCTTGGACTATAGGGAAGAATTTCCCTAATTTTTAGAAATGTACACTGAAGTATTTGGAGGTGAAATATCAAGATTTTATAACCTGCTTCTAAATGATTCCACGAGCAGAGAAAAAGCATGCAATGAAACCAAATGTAAAAATGTAGTAATCTGCTTTTAAAAGAAAACAAGTGTTTTCTATTTTCAACCAGTATCATCTTTTCTTTATTTTTAAAGAAGGGGACAGAACAGACCTTTTATCTGTGGATGCCTAACGGGTCAAAAGTAAAGAACATGGAATAGGGAGACAGGGAGATGGCTCATTAGACAAAATGCTTGCTGTACCACTGTGAGGGGCCTGAGTTCAGATCCCCAGCACCCATTTAGGAAGCCAGGCGTGGCTGTACGCACCTGTAATCCCAGCTCTAGCCTGCTGATGAGGTCCAGCTTCCTCAGTGAGAGACCCTGTCTCAAGAAAAATAAATAAATAAGGTGTCGAGCCATAAAGGAAGAGAGCTCACGCTGAGCTCGTTTCACCAATGTATGCATGGGAACGTGCACCTGCACACGCATACCCACACCCACATGGAAGGAGGCACACAAAAGAAAACCATGAATTTTCACATGAAGAAAGCCAGTCTTCGGCCTGTTACCAAACCAGCAGCATAGGACCACCTTGGGGATCTAAAATCACACAAGAACAAATGCTGAATGCATCCTAAGGCTTAAGACTGCTTTTCAAACATTTTGTTGGCTCTGACCCACTTAGAAAAATTAAGGAAACCATCCTAGAGAGGGCAAGATGAAAACTGCCACTGTCACCACTACTCTCTGCTGCCCTGCTGTAGAGTAGAAAGTGACTGAAATAAAACCCATCAGTCATCTCATACACATATGGAACCACATAGAGCAGGAACTAAAGCATATGTCCAACCCAAACCACCAGCATTCTTAGGGGGCAGGGAACAGAGAGAATTTCCTCTCCATGTGAATATGAATATATATATATATATATACACACACACACACACATACATACATACACATACACACACACACACACTTTCGGCATCACCAGACCAGCTGGACAGCTCATTAGATTCATGCCCACAGTCCTCAAGGGAGCACAAAGCAGCCATCAACAGCCTGTGAAAATTAAAAAGACTTGGAAAATTTGAAATATATTCCTTGAAGCTCTCCTCTTCAGTCCCTTCCTAACTAGCTGCCTAGCCCCTACCCTCCCTTCTGCTCATAAAGGCCAAACAGGCCCAGACCAGGAGAAGAGCAAAGAGGAGGAGCTTGGGGCTTAAGCATGTCTGAGAACTATGGTTAGCCCACCCTAAGCACCAGGCTGGGACATTGGAAAAAGACCTGAAGCCAAAGATCTAAATTGTACTTAAAAACGAAAGTACAGCCAGACTATGGTGGCGCATGTCTTTAATCTCAGCATTCAGAAGACAGAGGCAGGTGGAGCTCTGTGAGTTAAAGGCCAGCCTGGTCTACAGAGTTAAATTCCTGGACAGCTATGGCTGTTACACAGAGAAACCCTGTAGTCTTACTAAAACACGGAAGACACATTTGTCCCAGGAAAATCTTCCATCAAGAAAGCACAGCTTGGGCTGGAGAGATGGCTCAGAGGTTAAGGGAACTGACTGCTCTCAGAAGTCCTGAGTTCAATTCCCAGCAACCATATGATGGTTCACAACCATCTGTAATGAGATCTGGTGCCCTCTTCTGACCTGCCGGCATACATGCAGACAAAACATTATATACATAATAAATACATCTTTGAAAAAAAAAAAAGGAAAGAAAAAGAAAGCACAGCTTCTGCTATAGATAGAATTTGCAGTCTATGTGCATCGGGAAAGACTGCTACAGGATTGGCTGAATTATTCAGGAATTCAGAATGGCGATGAACCATGGTGGTGGTCTGAGGGACGGTTAGTGTTGATTAGTACTGCATATTCATAATCTCTGTATTTTTCTCCTTCCCCATCCCTCTCTCCTTCCCAAACAGTCTCACTATGAAGTCTTGGTTGGCCTGTAATTCTTTATATAGACAAGGCTGGCCTCAAATTGTCTGTGATCTTCCTGGATCTGCCCCTTCAGTGCTGACATTACAATGGTCTGCCACCACGGCAGATGGGTTGTCTTGAATGTCGCTTCATTGAGGACCACAGGACTGTAGCCTTGGTGCTAGGGTTCAGGATATCATGATGTAGGATCCACCATGAGGAAGCAGAATTCACCAATGAACAGTCACAGAAGGCCTTGTCATATGGCCAGCACCGACCTCTAACAATAAATAACGTAGCAGCCAAAGCAGGATCCAATAAAGCTGGTTCCTGGAACAAAGGGCTTCTGGAGTCAGGTCTCTCTGTTACAGTCAGCAAAAACAGCTCCAGCAATTAGTGCTCAAAGAGGCAACAAAAATGTCAGGATTCAGACCTAGAAACCAGGTAATATAATCAGCTTAAGAAAGGCTTTGACAGAGGAGAGCTGAATCTGGGGGAGGGAGGAAGTGAGGGGAGAGACTGGGAAGAGAGGAGGCTGCTGTCAGGATGTAATGAGAGAAGAAAATTTAACTTAAAGAAAACAGTAAGAAAGGCTTTGAATGTAAAACCATGACATGCACGATGGGGGGAAGGCAACAAACAGGGCCAGAGTGATGCAGGAACAGGACCCACTTGAAGACTGAAGGTCAAGGTTTTGGGGGGAAAACAAAAAACTAGCTGGGATCAACCAGAGGGAAATAACCAAAGACATCAGAGCCGGATCTTGCTACAGCAGGAACTGAGTGATGGAAGAGTATGGACTCTTTCCAAAAGAACATATGGCATTGTAGCACGTTTTTGGAAATTTAAGAACCAGGGCCTTTGGGGGCAGCATTTTTGGGGTGTAAGCCCAGGAATCTTGTTGGTGAGCTATCTAAAAATGCTAGGCACCTTGAATGAGTCTGTGGAGATGGGGGGGGAGGGGTAGAAGGTTACATTGATCTTAGTGGGATAGTAGGGTCACACAAGTTGTCAGGACAGTGGAAGACTGTCTAAGAGACCTGAAAATGGACACCCACAGTCTCTAAGTGCAAGAGTCTGAACTTTGAAGATGAGGAAAATTGAGCTGCTCTAAGAACTGAGCTCAGAAATTCTGAGCCAGCTCTACGAAGCTGCCTGGGGTAGGGTCTCTCTCCCAAGGCACAGGAATTAACAGCTCACAGTCCTTCCTCCACTCTGCTTGGCAGTCAACCAATACCACAGATAGGGTAAGATCATGCTGTGTAAACCTTCCTCTTAATGTCTTTATCTCTGATAAGCTTAGACTTAGGTTGTGAACTCCACAGACCAACACAGCGGTTCTAAGCTGTAACTTGCATGTGTTGGGCTTACAGGGAAAGCATGTTTCCTCTGGGGACATGCTGGATCTCTGGGGACATGCTGGATGGGTATGGAGTAAAACTTTGAAGACAAGAGTGCACATGGGCTAGGGACAGCATTTCTAGTCATGTTATACTATTTTATGGTCTTACTGCTCCCAGAAATATGGACAATTACAAGAGGCAATAGACAGATTCAACGGAGAAGTCAGTCTAGTTTTGAAGGCGCCTTAGCTCAAGGGTGATGCTGACCTTGGGGGTTCTGGGTTAGAATTCCATTTAACTCACAAGTCAAAGCAGGGTTGAGATGAAATTGGGGGCTTCACACTCAAAGCAATTTCAATTTCTTTTTGGGCAGGGACATTGGACATGACAAGGAGCTTTAGATGGGTGCTGGTACATTCCAGGAACTATGTTTATTTTAGCTCTTAACTACATATAAATAGGGGAGGAGAGGCAGCTTAGAGGTTGTTTCTGGTAGGTTCAGCTCAATGATGCAGCATCTAGTAACTGACTGGAGCACTTGACATCCCGTAATTAAATCATCAAACCCAAAAGGTAAAAAATTAAATGCTGCCCTGAAAAGACAACTTAGGAGACCACTGTGTGATGTACAACCCATCAGAGGGGACAATGCGGCTGTCCAGGGAAACTTGTGGCTCCAGGGAGAGTGGAAGGCTTCCCCATCTACAAAGCAAGAAATGTGGCCAAGGACATTGACTCCATGTTCTGAAGAACACAGAGGGGGTGGGGGTTAAAGCTGGCTTGGAAGAGCAACAATGGACCTTAATGCTCTCTACTTCATCTGCTGCATGAGACCAGAAGTTGCCTACAAGGAATGAGAGGACTCTGGGGAATAATTGGAGTTACTGGGCTGTGTGTACAGACACACAGACTGGCTTATTTCAGAGCTCTTCAAAAGGATGGGTATGGTGGCATGGACCTGTGGTCCTACTACAAAGGGGGTTGAGACCTTATTACTTCTAGACCAGCCTGGAGACTCCATTTGAGAAAAATAATCTTGGATTAGGGGCTAAGCTATAGCTCAGTGATACAGGACTTGTCTGGCACACGTGAGATTCTGAGTTCAATAGGTACAGAGGCAAAGGTAGAAAAACTGGCCAGTCTTGTCTGTGGCCATCTATCAGAGGTTGCCATGGTTCTGGGAACACTAGCTTTGTCCTTTCTTTGACTCGATCAGCACTAACAATGACAACAGTTTTCAAAGAAAACACAGCTAAAATGGAAAGATTCATTCTCTTCTTCTCCCCAAAGTTGGTTCCAGAAGTGAAAGGAATCCACCATGGGCATAGGTAGCAAATCAGGCACCACTTGACTCACAGACCATGAGCTATTACCTAGCAGTCTAACACCGAACAGCTGCTTCTAGCTCTTGATATCAAATTGTATCATTTATAATTACCAACAGAAAAACTGTCATCAAATAAGGAAGTAAACTGTATAATAAGGACCACAATAGCCAAAGCCAATGATAGCACTTTTTTTTTTTTTTGACCCAGGTAAACTAATTTCAGATTCCTTTATCACCACACTTCAACAGCTTGGATATGTGTGGTCGGCTCCTTTTTTGACAAAGGATGTGTTTATGTATGTCAACAATGCAGGACTGATGCTTGGGTCCAGCCCAGAGACCTCAAACTCAAAGCTGAAAGTCAGAATTGAAGGGAGGAAAAGAGGCAGAACAGAGACCTAGGCTGAGGTAGGCATCATGCTATGGGCCTCTTACTCTGGGGGCTGGAGAGAAGGCTGAAGTTGACACTTGCTGCTCTTCCAAATAATCTAAACGTGGTTCCCAGCACCTAAGTCAGGCAGTTCACAGCCTCCCATCCCTTTAGCTCTAGAAGATCCCATGCCTTCTTTTGGCCTCTATGTACACACACACACAACCACACAACCACACACACACACACCTAAAAAATAAAAATCCTTAAGAAATACTTTATGCAGAGTACGTTTTCCTGAGAATTATCTACTAGAACATATAGGCCAAAAAAAAAAAAAACCAAACTAAACTAAAACAAGACAAACACACAAAAATACCAAAGCACTCTTTAATGGTCAAGGAAAGGGC